TATATTTCTGTATATATATTTGATGATTATATTTGTAGATATATTGAATGCCTATATTTTTGTATATATATATTTGAATGATTATCTCTCTCTCTCTCTCTCTCTCTCTCTCTCTCTCTCTCTCTCTCTCTCTCTCTCTCTCTCTCTCTCTCTCTCTCTCTCTCTCTCTCTCTCTCTCTCTCTCTCTCTCTCTCTCTCTCTAAGCTTAAGAGTGTCACTGATGTATGCCTGTGAGGTCTGCTTTTGCTAGATATGTTTTATATATTTTTTGGTACTATACACTGTGATAAAGGTGGTGGTGGGTGTATGTGGAGGCGGCGTGGTTATGGCGTGATAGTGATGATGGGAAGCTTTCACTCTGGCACCAGTATTCTCACTCATTCCTTATCCAGGCTCCTGAAGGCTGTTTGTATTTTTCCCAAACCTTTTATATACTGTACCGCCTATGTCATCATGTCTGTACGCTTTGGCCACTTGTTTGGTGTGATGTCGTTGCTAATTAGTGATTGTGGGAGTTGTTTTATTTTCAGGCTGCAGAACAAATTTTTTGCCCTCCTGAACTTTTATTTCAAGCCGTATTAACTTGTGTTATCTTGGTCTGAATTCTAGTAGCTATTTATTGGAATATTCGTCATCATTGGTCGGTAAAGCGAGGGCTTCGTTTCTTGCAGGTCAGCGTTCGATTCTCAACGATCCAATTGGTTGGGCACCATTCCTTTCTTCTGTCATATGTCAGCTACATGTCCTCATATCTCTTCCAAGTGGTAGATAATGATACTGGCTCAGTTGCTTCTCCTCATAACTAACTTACTTTGTCCGAGTCTTCCTCCAATATTCTGCAGTCATCCTCTGATCTTATCGTCTTCGTGAATGCGTATTATATATTTGTGTGTAAGTGGTGAACGATGACGTTGATATTTTTTTTCTCTGTTGAGGTAAAGTCGAGCATGAAATGATCATGACTACATGGAGACACACACACACAGGTCATCAGTTCTAACTGATCACCAGAACACCATTTAGAAGCTAGACGACCTTCGGTACCCTTGACCTAGTATTGAGTCGAACACATGCAATATGTTTCCAGCGAGAGGTCCCAAAGGGAAATTTATCTGATCGTACGGGAGGAAATAACTCGGTCCGTTCGTGAGCTGCAGAGATAGCAGGAGGTTCCAGGTAACATGAGAGTACTGTACTTGCTTAAATACGTAAATGGTCGTCCAAGATAAGTCGTCTACACATTTTTCAACTGATTATTATAATAGGCTACAGTTGGCCAAATAAAATGTGACTGATTTTGACACTTCAAGGGGAAAAGGGAAATTCTCTATGCAATAAAAAATAAATTAATGCAAATTTGTCATTCTCTTAAAATGTTTAAAAAACAAAATACGAACCTCGAAGTAAACAAAGACTGCGGGCTGGGAAAATAATCTGCTCCTAGTAATTCAAATGACCTATTGTGTTCGGCGATAATTTCACGCAGTAATGCTTCACAAATGTAATAAAGTAATATAAATTTAGCAAGGGTATAAGCAAGTTGTGGAACAGGGACAATTGTACTGCCCTCACTGCGAGTGCCACTCTACTGAGAGTGCCACCCTCCCATGAGTGCCACCCTCCCGAGAGTGCCACCCTTCCGAGAGTTCCACCCTCCCGAGAGTTCCACCCTCCCGAGAGTGCCACCCTCCAGAGAGTGCCACCCTCCCGAGAGTGCCACCCTCCAGAGAGTTCCTCCCTCCAGAGAGTGCCACCCTCCCGAGAGTGCCACCCTCCAGAGAGTGCCACCCTCCAGAGAGTTCCACCCTCCAGAGAGTTCCACCCTCCCCAGAGTGCCACCCTCCAGAGAGTTCCACCCTCCAGGGAGTGCCACCCTCCCCAGAGTGCCACCCTCCAGAGAGTGCCACCCTCCAGAGAGTTCCACCCCACCAGACTTTGTAAACACGCTTCCTATGAACAACAAACTTTTTAACAAGCCTCGGAGTCATACCTGCTATTACTACCAGACTACTGGTATTTACCACCCAGTGTACCGACCTTTACTACCACGCTACCAACCTGTTGTTGTTTCCGAGGATCACTGTCCCCGTGCCCCGGTCTCTAACTAGGTCTCCTGGTTGGTGGTCTGCTCAATCAGGCTGTAGGATGCGGCTGATCGCAGCCTTACGTATAACAGCCTAGTTCATCAGGAATTCTTTGGGGGTTTCTATCAAATTCTCTCTTGAACACCGTGAGAGGTCGGCCAGTTATGTGAAAAATATGTTCAAAACACGTCAGATGTTCAACGTACCTGTAATAATAATTTTTGTTCTTCCTGGCTTGAACTACTGAACACTGAAAATGTAATCCATTGTAGATATTACTCCGATGATATGTATGAAATGTGTGCATGCGCTAGACTCAAGAGTTTATATTGGTATATTTTGTGTTTGTATAGGTATACTCAGCGTGTACATGCATTAGACTTAGTCTAGCGCTATGTTAAGAGTTGACCAATGACTGCTTCCTTACTCCCTTGCAGGAAGACCAGGTTGGACCACATCTGGTGCCTGATACAAACGTTTGGGTGCAGTCCGCATGTTAAGTGGTGTTTGGCCACTTGGGAAGATAAGCCCTGTACTGCGGCCAGCTGGGAGCGGCGTTCCTGTACCAGCTGTCGCGCTGACCACGTGGCCAGCTGCGGCCATGTGGCCAGCTGCGGCCATGTGGCCAGCTGCGGCCATGTGGCCAGCTGCGGCTGTGGAGATGTGGCCAGCTGTGGCGAAGTGGCCAGCTGCGGCTGTGGCCATGTGCGGCTGTGACCATGTGGCCAGCAGCGGCTGTGAGCATGTGGCCATGTGCGGCTGTGAGCATGTGGCCATGTGCGGCTGTGACCATGTGGCCAGCAGTGGCTGTGAGCATGTGGCCAGCTGCGGCTGAGACCATGTGGCCAGCTGCGACTATGTGAGCATGTGGCCAGCTGCGACTATGTGAGCATGTGGCCAGCTGCGACTATGTGAGCATGTGGCCAGCTGCGACTATGTGAGCATGTGGCCAGCTGCGACTATGTGAGCATGTGGCCAGCTGCGACTATGTGAGCATGTGGCCAGCTGCGACTATGTGAGCATGTGGCCAGCTGCGACTATGTGAGCATGTGGCCAGCTGCGACTATGTGAGCATGTGGCCAGCTGCGACTATGTGAGCATGTGGCCAGCTGCGACTATGTGAGCATGTGGCCAGCTGCGACTATGTGAGCATGTGGCCAGCTGCGACTATGTGAGCATGTGGCCAGCTGCGACTATGTGAGCATGTGGCCAGCTGCGACTATGTGAGCATGTGGGCAGACGAGAAACACAGTAGCGGAGGTAATAACAGTTTAGTGTGTCTCAACAAGGGAGTCAGTGAACTTCCGGGTTGGCCGGTGTTGCCCACACCTTGGCCCGGCCGTTGACCCGGAAGTGTCACTTGAAACTGCCGTAATACTCGGATATACGGAGTCTGAACTGCCCTGAAGGCATGAAGAGAATAATAACACTGAGAGTTTACGTTCGCTCGAGTTCTCCGCCAATATTCTGCCGTGAATTGGGGAACTAATGTTGGAACGTGAACCTTGGCCAGCTTCGCCTTAACAGAAAGGCCGTGTACTCAGATTTCATGGCGGGTGGCTTCGTTACCACCACCATCAGGCAGTAATACGGTGATAATAATACGGTAATACGATGATAACCAGCGATAATAGGGTTACGCGATTTGTTCTGGGTTCGAGTCCTGAGCAGGGAGGATTGACTGGGCGCAAGTCCTTAACTGTTCGCTCCTGTTCCCCCAGCATGAGTTGGGTACCTGGTTGTTAACTGATTGGTGAGTCGTGTTCCAGGGAAAACTAGTGGGCAAGGCTTACCATGAGCCATGGGAAGGGAAGGCACTTAGCCTGCTAACAGGAGTCAGAGGTTGTCAGTTCTCGTACCCACTATGCCAATTTAAACAACTAATATTGGGGTAGTCCTCTATATATTATAGATCTACGTCCTTAACAAAAGTATCTTCAGCTCATCTCATCTAACTTGAGAATGGTGCACAAGTTTTGAAACTTTTTACAAATGGCCTAAAGAAGTGGTTTTTAACCTGAGAGCTCTGATGTTCTACAGTGAACATGAGGACTCTGGAATGGTGGTGAACATATATCTCACGCAAAATATGAATATTAATTAAGCATATTTCTTCCTTTTCCTTCCAAATATCTTGGCCAAGTAGGCCTTTCAACACTTGTTGTTGTGAAGAAAAGTGTGGAAATAAAACATTGATAATGAGATACAGTGAACTTTTCTTCGTATCACCAAGGATTCATATATCCTCTTGAAGAAGATGGTCTCCCAACCTCCTCACTGATATCATATAATAGGTGAGTGGACTCAAACTCGGTTCCAGATACATGGTTATTGTTTTTATATATTTATCCCAAGTGGTTGTGACTAAAAATCAATCCCATTATTGCCTTTTGCATCGTTCGTCTGGTTTGTTTCAGTGTGAGTCTCACTGTGTGACTCCATACAGTGCTATCTCACTCCAACTGCCAGACTCCCATAGGGTGGTATCTCTCACTTGTTTATACCGTAGAGTCTACGTCGACCTCCCCCCCCCTCTCCCCCCCCCATCCACCACCTGCTCCTCTGCTTGCAGATAAGAGAAAGTAAAGGAACCACATACAAGCATGTTGTATAGTAATCACTCCACTCCGTCAAGTTAGTCTATATTCAAGCAGATGAAACAATATATATATATATATATATATATATATATATATATATATATATATATATATATATATATATATATATATATATATATACAGTATATATATATATTTATATATAAAGGATGAGGTACTCATTCTTCTATACCTTTCTCCAACCTCTGCCACTCTCCCAAGTGGCACCCTACCTCTCGAACTTTTCCCTCATTCCTCCCATATGGCCCAAACTCCCATGCCACTTCACTTGGCCCTCCCCCCCCTCTTCATGTGC